TTTCCATCTTCCTCTGCCCCTCTTCCCTTTGGCTGCACAGTGTCAGCACTGCAAGCTCTCCATTCTTCAGGGCCTCAGTATTCAAATGTCAGTAAACACGGCTCTAGGTAATTTTTTTCTAGCAGGAGAACAAGCCTAGGATAATTCTCTCAGATTATTTGAATTTGTTTATGCAGCCTTATTTACCAGCAATTTAGTGACTGTTAATTAGTAGCCTCATAAAGCAGTTCAGGATACCTTGAGTATAAAAGATGTATTATTTGTAATACCATTTGTATTATTGTCTTTGGTAATTTGATATATGGTTTTTATGTTGTTGATGCAATTCCAAGGAAAAATGGTGAAGTTGATTCTAAATTGTTCAAGATAGTAAAGTTATATTTAGTTTACCATCATTTACCATTGGAATAAACATTTCTTCCCTGAAAGCAAGCTCCTTTCTTTTTGGCATTTAACTTCGCAAACTTGAGATTAAATGAGAGAAACATAGCATCTGTAACGTTACTAACATAAGTGATCTGACATACAGCTAAAGGACAAAAAGACAGCTTTACACTACAATAATGAAAACTAAACAATCCAAAGTAATGCAGAAAATATGCATTCCCAGGAAATTATTTTGAGGAATGACAAGTAACTTCATTTTTTACAGCTTGAATTTATCTCTTAAACCTTTTTAAGCTATGTGCACATAAGATGGCAAAAACTGATCTCACAGGCATGTGGTTAGGAAACAGGACTCCTGGATCTGTTTCCAACTTATGCTATTGTCCTGTTATGTAATTTTGAGCAGACGAGTTTTATTTTGGCTAAGTTTCTGTACCTGTAAGAGTTCTCAGCATATGCTTAATAGGGGTTATGGTGTTTTTAAGCTATATATTTGTGTTCTCCAGATTCCAAGCATCTCCGCCATCTCTGGTGTATCATGGAAAGCCTTGGAGGCATGTCTAAATTTATATTAGCCTGTCTGTTATGGCCTATGGAGCACAGTGGTCTTCAGAACATCTAACATGCTTAATCATAACTTTTGAGCTAAAATAAAGTAAACTGTTTTTGTTTATATGGATAACAATGGGGTCCTGGTTGAAAACGTTCTTTTGTTTTAGTTTAATTAAAGCCAACCAGTTCCCTTCTATACCGCCTTCTCATTCCCCTAAATCTGCACTTTACTCAAGCTCCTCTTTTTCATTCTTAAGAGGTGGCAGTGAGAGGCCTCTGCACTGATTTGACTGTACCAGCACCTGCCACCATTTTCTTCTCCAGTCTGAAACCTGCCATATTGGACTGTAATGTGTGGAGGTTCATATAAGGACCAGACTGCCTGTAGTACCACATGGGGGGTGCATTTACACATGCATTTGATCCGGACTAAGTTTACTTTGGTGTAAATTACTCTTGAGTAAGCGCTTTCAGGAAGGAGTCTACACATGCAGGGACAGTGGGGGAGGTTTGCTGCTCTTTACACCAAGTTTCCTGCAGGCCTGCACTGGGCCCCTGATGCCACCGGGAGGAGCTCTAAGCATCCTCTGGGTGCTAGCCCAGGGGCTGGCAGGCAGTACTGGGCTCAGGAGACAGCAGTCTCCTGGTTCCGTGGGGCTGCCTGCTGCTGGAGTGAAGATAATGTCCCCCCACCCCAGCAGCAGGGAGCTCCTGGCCTGGCTCCCCAATCAGGGTTAGGGAACTTGGAAAGAGCTGCAAGGGAAGGGGCTGCTAGCTGCCCCATGGGTGGATGGGGGCAGAGGTCTGGGACCTGTCTCACACCCGCAGTTCTTTCCAAACCTCATCCCTCGATCACCCGATCAGGGCATGGGGCTAGGACCTTCCCCTGACCAGGACAGTTCCAAGCCCCTGCCCCGCATGGTGGGTGGAGGCTGGGAAGCTTGTTCCTTGCTCAGCTTTGTAAGCCCAGAGCTGGGGGCATGGAACAGGTTGGGGAGCTTGTTCCCCACCCAGTTCCATGAGTGCAGAGCTGGGGGGCAGGAACAGGCTGAGGGGCTTGTTCCCTGCCCAGCTCTGTGAGTGCAGAGTTGGGCGGGGAACAAGCTCCCAGCCTGTTCTCGCAGTCCCGGAGCTGGACAGGGAATAGGCTCCCCTGCCCCTACCAGCAAGGAGCTCCAAATGCCACCTCCATGACTATGGGGCTGGTGTTGGGAGACACTTATTTCCTAGTGTCAGCTCTGCAAACGTGGGGCCAGTGCTGGGTGACCCTTATCTCCCAGTGCCAACTCCATGCACCCCATGGTCTGCCTACCCCAACTCCATCTTCAAGCTGCTTAATAGTTGATAGTTTTGTGGTTATAAGAATATGTTGTATATAACGATGAGGTGGCAATGGCTAGCAGAAAATTAGAGAAGGGAGTAGTAGAGGACTTTACATGGGTGAATGGTAGTTGTTGCTGTCTGGAAGTAGCATAAAATGGAACTGCTAGGCAGCCTCCACTCCCTTCCTTCCTTTATTTTAGAAGTCAGGAATACTGTTGACCAAATAAATACGAGAGAGAAAATCATAACTTCACTGAAGTCAGTAGTCATTTTCACATTTGTTTCAGTGGGACCAAGCTTTCACTGAAGAACTGTAACCCATGATTTTCTGCAACAGATACACTAGTATGAAAATAAAAATAGTTAATTCCAATGTGATGCTTTATTATGAGTCATATCATTGTGGTATCAGAGTTGTGTACTGTATTCTTGTACTGTAGATACTGTTTTGGTTTTTTATTTTTCAGTATTATATAGATAAATAACGCTAACTGCTATGTTACTCAGCCGTACATCATAGTAAAATACAAGCTATTAAAGTATCTCAGTACAACTAAAACATTTTAATGCTTGTTAACAGAATACTGAAATAATTTTAGTACAAAAAATACTCCTAATGAAGACACTTTGAAATAACTGATTAATTCAAGAGACATGATGATGAGGATGTTTTTATCTTGGTATCAATACAATTCAATAACAATAGCTGCTTACATTTTTATGCTGATTTTTATTTCTTAATTTAGGTTATGCTTGGTTTCATACCTGTTAACTACTCCAACACACTAGTGATGAATACATAAACATCCAAATGCCAAATAAATACATACATACACATATAGGTGTATACAACTTAAACTAGGGTCACACATTTCCTGTTGCAAGAGATTTGTGTACAGCTGAATGGTATTTTGTGGTGTGTGTTCTTGTGCAGTAATTGAGAAATTTTCAACAGAAGATGATTATGGTGCACAGATTTTATAGCAAAGGCTCCCTTTCTTAAGGTGTTTGACGTTGTGATCTGTTTACGGTGTTGTTGGGGGGGTGTTTATTTTACATATATCTGCATCTGGACTCTACTTGTATTTTGTTTAAATTCTGTTTTGCTTACAGACAGCCTTTTGATTGACTACCAGTTTACCTTCAGCTTATTACAAGAGGACGATCGCCACCACACTGCCATAAACTTCATAGCAAATCCCGAACAGGTGAGAGAATATAATTAAACAACCCCAGTATAAATTCCCAGAACAACAGAGATGTTTGATTATGAGTTTAGTTCTGTCAAAGTACTGATCAAGCATTAGAGCTAATCAGAGCTGTTGAAATCATGGAAGACTCCTATTGACTGCAGTAGAAGACCACTTCTCTTCTTTCTTTAGCTTTGTGCAAAGATAAACAGATATCTCCAAATGCGTTCTACATATGGCTAATATTGCACTTTTCTTAACCACTCCTAGCAAGTGTTATATTTCTGCTGTCATTTTTCAGGCACAATCCAGGCGAACTAAAATAGGTTTGTTATTTTTCTCCCTAATGAACTATAATTTTCAGTGACTTGCTGAGACATTCCCTGTTGCAAGACATTTGTATAAAATGGAATGATATTTTGTGGTGTGTGTTCTTGTGACCTCCTTGAGACATTTTCGGCAGAAGATAATTATGATGTTATGGCACAAAGCTTTTACAACAAAGGCTGCCTTTTTAAAGATGTTTGCTGTTTTGAGCTGTTTAAAGTGTTGTAGAAGCACCCGCTTTGAGAACCAGCAAGACTCTGAACCTGTGGTCCTAGTTTAACTTGTCTGGCTGAGAGTGATTTAAAAGAACTGGTTAGACATAGTTGAGGTGGCTGTATATTTGAAAATAAATTAAATAAAGGTTTGTTGTGCAACTGAGGGATCTGTGAGTCTTTGGTAGTTACGGTATTAATGTTAATAGTTGTGTCCTACCCCCATTCAAGTCACAGAGAGCTTTGCCATTGATTTCAGAATTTCACCCTAGTATTTACAGTCAACAATCAAGGAAGGAAAATTAAAAAGTCCATCAAAGGTACAGTCAGCTTGTTATAACTTACATTAATTGTAATATGCGTTTTCTCTCTGTCTAGTCGAACAAAAATTTGGATATATCAATTAATGCGTCAAACAACTTTAACCTCAATATCACATGGTCTGTTGGCTCTACAGGTAAGAAAGCATTTTGTTATGATATATTTCTCCCCATATGATCTCAAGATCCTTTAAGGTTTTTTTTTTAACGTGATTGTCTTTGTTACTGATTTGAATAATAAAACTTTATAAAATGTATTCTTTTTCTATTAGCATTATACCATTATTAATTATATTACTTAAAGCTCAGATAATAATTTGCAATCTGAACAAAGCTTCATTAACATGTTAACTTTCTCTCCTATTCAATTAAAATTACTTGGTAGGAAATGCTTGTACTCTATTTAAATTTTAAAAATGGCAGTGTTATGAAATTCTGTGATTTTAATTAAGATAAATTACTCCCTTAACTACTGGGGAGACTGAGATTTTAATTTCTTTGTTTCAGTGTTCAAGCTAAAAATTTAATTATTAACCTTAACATTGATATCAAATAATAAAATTCTTCTGTGTATGCTGATAAAAGGAGCTGCTTATCTCTTTTTCCCCAAACTTTAAACCCCATTACTCTTTTTGCTTTAATAAGGAAGAAGAAAAGGTTTATTTAGAAAGTTTTTATGAATTGGTTCTGTTGACTTTCTGAAAATATATCCAAGGAGAAGCAAAATGCTTACAAGTTAAACTGTACATTTTAATGACTAAAACCAGGCGCTTCAATAAGCCCAAGAACTTCTGTATTTTGTTGCATCTATCTGTATTTTTGTGTGGTATTCAAAGCTTTATTTTAAAATACCTTTGCTAGCAAGTTCTGTATTTTCCATTATCTTCTATTTACTTCACCAAGTCAGCAGTGCTGTGATCAAACAGAATTGGTGAGAAGCCTGATGGTTTACAAGAAATGATATATGTTTATCTGGTGTATTATTCACATTTCTAAGAACATTTGAGACACGATAGCAATATTTTAAAATGTAGACAAATTCACTTTCCACACTTTAGTAACTTATGAATTTTTATTGAAATGGGATGTAAATTACTAGAGGAAACTATATTAGCTGTGTAGTTAACCAGCATAAATTTGCTGTAAAACTCCTATCCAAGTATATCTCCCCTTTATTTTATGTTTCATTCATAATCTTCAGAAATTGTGGTAGGAGTTTGTGTGAATTTTCTGTGTAGGTGAAATATTACTTGTTTAATGTGTATAATATATAGAAAAGGTTGCTGAGTCACTTGCTCAAAAGTAAGGAACTACCAGTATTAAAGTTGCCTGTAGTAAGCTACTTTGGTTCTTTTTATGATAATTTAATATTCGTTTACATTTTTAGCTGGAACAATATCTGGAGAAGAAATTCCTGTTGTTTCTAAGGCTAACATCAAAGAATACCGAGATAGTTTTTCTTGTGAAAAATTCAACTTTCGAAGCAACCCAAACATCACATTCTATGTATACGTCAGCAATTTTTCATGGCCAATCAAAATACAGGTTAGTGTATATATATTGACCAATTCAGTTTTCTGGTGATTTTCATTGGGTGTTGTAAATTAATATTTTCATTGCTCCTGAGACTGTACAAATGATTCTGTACAGTTATATTCTCCAGGGTTAGATGTGCTGTATATATATTTTGTCTTTCTGCAAATAGGAATGCTGCCAAATGGCTAACCACTTAACAAGTAATTATTCCTGGTAATTTATATCTCATTAATTGCAGCCTTTTGTATTCAGGACAGTTTTGTTTACAAATGTTTATACAAAAAAGAACAAGATTTTAAAATCCAGTCTTATTTTATAAGGGAAATATTTGTGAAGAACAATATATATGTAATGTTGTTGGTAGATTTCTGGAAAATCGTTATTTTTTTCTTAGTTAAATGCTTAATGTCTGTTGTGTGCTACAGTTCTACAGCTTGTATAGTAGACATGATAAAGTTTATTGAATTAGTATTCATTTTCTCTTTTTAGATCTAGGCTTAATGCTCTGACTTTCTTGTGATATCAGCAGGAATTAATGAAAGTTTCTTACAGGATCAGGCTGTAAAGTTTGAGTTTCTACCATGGTTCATGTATTGCTGCTTAGTTTTGCTAGAAGCTTCAGGGAACTTTCTAGCTACCATTAATATGTCTCTGTTTGTGGGCATCTTTCTCCCATTACTCACTTCATGGAGGTTACTGAATGAAAGCCTTCCAGACAGCTTCGTTAAAGCACTAACCTTTGCAAAATTAATTGTTAAAATCATAATCTGGTCTTGGGCAAGCAATCCGAGTAGGGCCAAACTGTCCTGAAGCTCCATACTATGACAACTGGAACAGGAACATAAGTGTAGACATCCCACAGGCATTTCAGGCTAGAGATACTGGGCTTATTGGGTGTATCCTCACTGACTGAGAAGTTCCTAATCACCTCAACTGAGCCTTCATTCTAGATGCTGGATTAAAACAATTATCTTCAAACTGTAAAGGAAAGTGATGCAGAAATATTTAATTTAGCTTATGTATTCTTTCAATTATAGGTTATGCTAAATGTCCCCTAACTGTATGTTAAATATATTTTCTCCAAATTAACCCCTGCTCTTTAAAAGGGTGTGTAGCGTTCAATGTAGAGCTGTATCCCATAAATTCTTGCTTTGTCATAAGAGATGCTTTCTTTAAAATGTAATCTTTTAGCTTTTAACCTTAGCTGGTTATTTTCTCATCTGCCAGACCCTCAAAGTTGGGATGAGTTTGTTTCAACTGGCACTGGGGACTGGATAATGTCTAACCTGTGCCCTGATGGTTAGAGTAGTGTGCTGTGAAGTTGGAGAGATGTAGGGTCAAACTCCTCTGGGCGAAAGGGCCTAGAATCTGGGTCTCCTACTTACTGAGCAATTACCTAACTGCTAGTCTACTGGGTTAAAACATGGGAAGGCCCTCTTTTTCCTCCTCCTCCTCCTTCAGTATATAGCAGCTGCTAGTCGTGGGCTTTTGCCAGGCTACAATTTGTAAAATTAACACTCATCCAGGTATGTTCATAGGTAGCAGCTGCATACCTCCCTGGCCAAAGCACAGCCTAGCCTGCCTTGCCAGAGCTCACATGTTCAATAGCTATGTGGATATAAAATAGAAGAGAGTCACTGCATGTAGAATTAGGGCTGTGAACTGAGTGTAAGTGCCAAAAATGGCACTAAGGCAGCTGGGTTTGAAAAAGGAAACTAGGATTCTTTCCCAAAAGGGCAGTCTCTTTGGATGATTGCTCAAACAAGAACACCTAGTTTTGGCAAATAGTTTATTGCACAGTGTCATCATGCACCTATAGAGTATATACAGGTGACATGGTAAAGTCACAATACTGTATATTGCTTAGTATCATCATACAGTACCTCAAGATACTGTGAACATCAGAGTAACAAAGAAAGCTACTTTCCTGTGGGAGAGAAGGCTTCCAGAGGATATTCAGGAGTTTTACACCAAAAGACATACAGGCATTGCTCTGGAATACTAGAGCTAGAAACAATTTGTTCCACGTTCTGAGGTCAGTTATGCAAGAAATAGTTAAAACCAATATATGCTAAATTTTATTGCAGATCTTACTCTTACTGTCTTTAATGTTACTGAAAAGCTGCAGAAAGAACATATTGTGCTTTTCACTGTCACTTTAGCTCTTTATGTAAGTCGTTTACCTGGATAAATTTTGACCTCAGAGCTCCCAGGAAACTCGCCGGTAGGTCCATCCACGCTTTGAGGACAGATACAGGCCATAAAAATATTTAATGATAGATGTTTCATTATCAGGCAATGCAAGTTAATTAAAGAAAAATCTAAGATTGGGAGATGCAAACTGTATTTCATAAGAAGCAAATTAGCTTTGAAACTGCACTAGGCATGCTTCTTTCTTATGCCTTTTACTCACGCAGTTTAATGCTTTGTGCCGTAAGAGAGTAGTCTAGGTTGTCAGGATCTCCCAGAACTGAAGGTTAGTTGCCTGGAACTGTAGTTCTTTGAGAAGGGCTCTGAATATTAACAGTTAGTGCAGTGATGCTTAAAAATTCACTCCCTCTTTTATCCCTCACCTCAGTGTTCCCAAATGTTCCACCTGTGTCTATAAAAGGGAAGAGCATTGCCATCTTCTGCTGCCACCACAAAGTCGCATTTTATTAGGCCTATGACAAAGAGGGTGAGTGGGCAGGACACGTGACTATTCAGTCCATCATGAAGAACTCGTTTATGGGTAACCTTTATTTCTTTTTTAAGTGTCCTCTGCATATGTCCACTGAGGGCATAGGGTACCTTGTTAACAGTAAGTGGGACTCAGTCCGTAATTAAATAAGGATGGAAGCGCTGAATGCATGTCTGCTTTGAATACGAGGGCAAATGTATAATGCTCTGTAGAAGTATGTACCAAAGTTCAAGATGTTTCTAAGATATGCCACTGATGTAATCCCCCACTCTAGTGGGAAGTGCAGTAATCCATTTAAGGAAAAGATCATTTGCTAAAGAAACGCTCTAAAATACACTGTCCAATGCACCTTGACGGTGGAACAAAATGAGACAAATGAAACGCAGAGGGAAGAATCCCTGAGGGGAGCAGGAAAATCAAGGTGGCATAGAGAGCATCTCCATCTTGTATTCACCTTTGTGCCCTCCTTGCTACACAAACCTCAGTGAGACTCTTAAGAGAGATCTTCATAAATGGATCTGCTGGGACTTCTCAAACATAGCAATTCCTGCGGGAGGACCTGCATCAATCTGAAGTGCCTCCTCGTTGTCTTTCTGATTGCTTAAGGTATTGCTCTGATGTGTATGCCCTTTCACCTTTCTCCGTGACTTATACAGCCCCGAGGAAATAAAACAGGATGCAGGATGTACCATTATTATGTTTGTGGCATGAATCACAGAGCTGTGATACTTGGACTTTGTGAATCTCCCTGTATGAGAACCCATTATCCTATTCATCCGTGTTTCACAGAATAGTCTTAATAATGTAGATCTTATACCTAAACCTTGCACCCTGCTATCTGGACACCAACTAGATGATGTCTACAAAGAGATTATTTTGCTGAATGTAAGACATCTCACTTTGCAGTTGGAAGCCTTTGCCCAGACTGACATAGGTGGAGAAATGGAAGTGTTTGTTTAAGCTGGAAGTGCAGTGTAAACTGTTGCCTGCAGCAGACCCCATTCCAGCTCTACTGATTATTTACTTTCTCTGAAGCATTCTGGGGTTCACTTCATGTGACAAAAGTGGCCCTAGCAGGTTATCTACAAATCAGCCTCCTGTGAAGGAGATACCATTCTCTTGCATGCTGTGATGCAAGTTCCTTACGGGACTCATGATTCTTAACAGTGGCTGGAGTATGCCTGGGCAATCACATGAATAGTCATAGCAGTGGTTCTCAACCTTTTGTGATTCAAGGTATCCCTCAAAAAATGCCAGATCTTAGTTTTCACTATTTTTTTTACTATAGAAAAATAGTAGAGAAATTACTTTGTTACAAAGGACTCCAGAAAGCCCACAACAGATTAGAATGTTTCTAAAGCTATGGATTTCTGTTTGAAATTTCAGGGTTTATCTTGTGTATCATGTTTGCACACCTACCAGTGTTATCATTGAATGGCATGCCATGTTACCCTTGACCGGCTCCCAAGATATTCCACAGTCCTGTGGCACCTTGATTGAGAATCGCTGCTCTGTAGTAATTATAGTTCTTTGAGGTGTGTTGTCCTCCATCTCCAATGACTGGAAACCTTACAAGCAAGAGATTTACAAAGGAACTTATTGGTAATAGATTTCATCCTGGATTGCATGTGCCCTACCATTTGTACACCTGGCTATAGAGAGTGAGAAGACTCTTAGGTTACAAGTAGAGGGTAAGAACCTTGTTCAACTAATTTTAGGTGGCTACTGGAGCTCTTAATCCCTGGACTGTTGGCACATTAGCACCAAAAACTAGTTTTAAGCCCACTTTAGGCAGTTAAATTATACCACTCCAGGGAAAGTTTATCTCTGATCCATATTACCCAGCTCATGTTCCATTAATATGTGGCCACTCCCCATGGATGAGCCACCAAAGTTGTAATTCTGCAGCATCCCAGGATACAATGTCCCCTCCCCCACCCTTCTGTTCTTTGTGGACAAACTTCCCACCCCCTGAGCTCTAGAGCTGTGCAAAGCTTCGGTCCCTGATTTGACTCAGCGGAGATTCGGCCTGATTTGGTGGCCGAATCTCTCAATCCGAATCGAATCAGAGGACCCTTTAATCTCTCTGAATCGAATCGGAGCCCTCCAAATTGATTCAGAAAGATTTTGAGATTCTGACATAAAGACAGCTTTAAATGTTTTTTTTCTACATACCTCTGGGTAGCAGGGGCTCATGAACGCTGTGATGCTGGGGCACATGGAGTGTCCCACAGAAGCACGGGGGGGGGGG